TTCCCCCTCCTCCCCCACCTCCTCCTCCTCCTCTTTCCCTGTATGTTGAGCTTCTTAGATCTGTGAATTCATAGTCTTCAGCAGATTTAGAAATTATTGGCCATTATCTCCTCAAATACTTTTTTGTCCCCTTTACTTTGGACACTTTTATTGTGATATATTCTAGTGCCCTAATCTTTTCTTCTTCAGTGTCTAATCTGCTGTTAGTCCAATTCAGTGTATTTTTTATTTCATGCATTGTAGTTTTCATCTCTAGAAGCTTGAGTTGGTCCTTTTTTAAAAAATAGCTCTATGTCTCTTCTTAATATGCTTATTTTATCTTTACATTTCTGAACATATGAATATTGTATAATAAGAGCTTTGATATCCTTTTCTATTTTTTCCCCTAACATTTTTAAATGAGCTGTGAGTAAACCTACTCAATGTTTTCTACTAATTGTGTAATCTGTATCATTCCTGTGTTTCTATTGAATGGTTTTTCCTTTTACAATATACTGTATCTTCCTATTTCTTTATATTCCTGGTAATTTTTTTGTAAGACATTTCAGTTTTAACTTTTTGGGTTTTGGATATATTCCTATAAATATTCTTCAGCTTTGTTCTCAGACAAAGTTACTTTGAAATTGGTTGATCCTGTTGAGACTTTCTGTAAACTTATTTAGTTAGGACCAGAGCTGACTTTGGTCTAGAGCTTTTTTTCCCCCTCTGCTACTGAGGCAAAAAACTTCTGAGTAGTTCACCTGATGCCCTGTGAATTATGAAGTTTTCCGTTTTGGCCAGTGGGAGCATTAACTGTTCCTAGCCCTGTGTAAGCTATGGGGATTGTTCCCTCTGATTGTTTCATCTGGTTTGTTCCTTGATCTTGGGTGGTTTCATCATATGCATGGGCTGATCATTACTTGAGCTGACCCTCTGTAGCTCTCAAAAGCTTTCCCTGTGCAGCTCTCTTGTCTCTGGCACCATGTCCTGCAAACTCTAGCTGCTTTGGCCTTTCCAGACTCCCAGCTCTGTCTCCTCTACTCAGAGAGATTGTGGGACTCTGCATGGGTTTCCTTACCTGCACTGCTGCCTGGGAACTTCTTGAGGCACTAAGCTGGAGCAGTCCTTTGTTTCTCCTACTTAGGGACCACTGTTCTGTACTGTGTGACATCCAAAGTTTGAAAGCCTTTTAAAAAAACACACTTTGTACATTTAAAAAAAAATAATTTTAGTTGAAAGGGTAGTCCAATCCCTGGTACTCCATCTTGTCCAGAAGTGGACTTGGCTTTTATTTTTATAATTATTGTAGTTGTATTTTGCTAAACTTTGTTTATATGTTCATTTTGCAGTTACTTTTCTTCTTTTTTTTTTACAATTCAAGCTATATGAGCATTTTATAAAATCAGAGATATGTTTATGTTAAA